TGGAGTCCAGCAGGTTCTCCGAGCAGTACATGGACACGTTGGCGCCGGCGTGGCCGTCGTACACGGCGAAGAAGGACCAGTCCTTGAGGCCGTGCGGCAGGCCCAGCACCGACGTGTGCGAGTCCTCCATCTCCACCCGCCAGCCCTGCATGCAGCTCAGCCCGAACCTCAGCCCGTTCCCAGAACCGTGCTCGTTCACTTTCTCCGTCTTTGGCTTGTCCAGAAATGCCCCCATCCTCGTGCCAGCTCACCTGTGGAGGGAGGACACATATACTATGATTATGACGCCCCCATAGAGGTAGAAGCAGCCAGATAAAGTAAAATAAGCAGTTGGTGACGGTGCAGGTTAGACATCCAGGTAATAAGATACGCAAAAAAACGGCTACTCAAGCAACTGGATATGATTTTTGTCAGACGTTTCAGGTAGCATCCTGGACTACTTTTCGTCAGTGACACTGGAAAGGTTGTCAGAAAAGCAGGTTTATGAGGTTTATACTATGAATAGCCCCACTAGATTCTAACATTATATCAAAGACTTACACTAGACCTTGTTAGGATGTTAGGATTTATTCTATACCTCTCTTTTGTACTATGTTCAACAGTTATTGTCATATATATTGTACCATATACGACTGTTGTGCAATAAAGTTACTTCTTCCTATAAGCCTGGTGAGTCAGGTTGACAACATTTGCATTGCACACAAAGGCCTCGTTCATGATTGAAATGTGTTCCGGTTTGGCCACGATCCGAATCGAAACGGAATATATTTTTGGCCATTTTTGCGTCCGTGATTCAAAACTTGAACCCACACTGGAAACGGTTTCACACCTCGAATTGACTTGCATTTCATATGTATATCACAATTCCTTTGAATATTTCCTGAGAACCCGGCTCGTAAGGCGGAGAGTTTACGCCTGTCCGGGCGAGTGGTCGCTCGTTCCCGACTCATGTCCTCCCCATGGCATAGGCTGTGCCCCGGACGCATCTGGCGCAAACCCCCACGGTCCGCCGCCCCAATGCCCCCGTTGGGCTACCACTCGCCCTCACGCCCAGGGTAGGTTCTAGTACACACCATCCAGTTTCCTCTGGATCTCCTGATTTACCCAAGTCAATATCGGAATTCGAAGTCCCGTTTCCTCAGTCGACCAGTAATTAGAACTCGATGTCAAGATTGTACGATTCAAGTAGAATTTTCGGCAGTACAAGCCACTGCGCCGCAAACTATGACCGACCGTGGCCCCCACGTACCCGGGAGTACAGCGTCGAACCGGAACGATTCGCATCCGCGCGTTCATGATTACAATTCTACGAATGCGAATCGTATCGTATCGTTTCAGACCACCTCGCGAGGTGGTTCAGAATAAATCGCAACGGAACCGGTTTGGAGCGTTCATGTTCCTAAATGAATCGATTTATTTTTTTAAATCGAATTGATTCGCAACAGATATCCAATCATGAACGGGGCAGTGATGTAATGTAGGATGACCCAGCAAATAACGACTGAGAAACACACAAGAACCATTACCACTGTTCCTTCTAAGTAAATGGTGTCTTGTTGATGCTTTTTCAAGCTGACTACTTCCTTATTTATATATATATATATGTATATATGTAACATATTGTGTTTTCAAACACAGCATACTACCATTAGTACTGTTGATTTTTTACAGCTGCACTAAGAAAAGCTTTGAATCAATTGTTCCAAAACACCATGTCTTCAAACTCTATACAATTGACATTCACAATGTACCATGATTATATTATGAACATACTTTATATAATTTGGCAAGATTACACAAATTCAGTATGTATCTGATCTTGGACTTGAACAGATACGTAGTTAATTCTTTTTGGAAGACAGGGCTAGTAAAAGGCTTTTATATTCAGATAATTTACATCGGGTAAAATTAATATGAGTCACGTCTGAATGTCAGCAGTATACCAAGGGCACTTGTACGTATAATCTGGGAGATTTTTTTTTTCAACATTACAACATGCAAACAATACAATACATAGTGGTGACACACTCAAGCAATATGCTTATACTCACGTCACCATAAGACATAAAATAAAAATTACATCACAAAACATGGGTAATGTCCAGGTAACAAGAAAACAGAGTTTAACTATTAAGATATCATAAATACAGCACTATAAATCAGTTATTAAATCACTTGGTTTCGGAAAGATATAGCTGTGTAATAGTGAGTATTTGAGAGTTGACTTTAGATGAAAGTAAAGGTGATCCATGGAGTGACAAATACACAGTAACACTATCGGATAGGTTGTTAATATCATTATTATCATGTTAATATATTGGGGCATTGTCATTAGATAGCTTTAAACAATGTCTAGAGTTAGATGTTCAAAGGTTAGGTGTAACAAGTCGTTCGGTGTAAAAATTATGTAGCCAGCTGCCGCCGCGCCGCGTGCCTGCGAAGCTGGTGTGTTACGCCGAAAGGCGGTTATACCGGCTATACAGATACGGAAGAATGGTATAATTTGGTTTGGGCCTGTAAAAGGTAGCGTTGATACGTGCCCCTGTGTGCTGACTGGTTCTGTGCGGCCCTTTTTTCCTCCTCCCCATGTAAACATTTCGCAACATTCATGAAGAGGCGTAATCCACAAACCACACTACGTCATCGCACGTCACACGCGTAAGTAAGTATATGCCGGACCGTCCGGCCAGTTACAGCGATTCTGCCCCTGCTATTCCGGGTTTTCGGGAAGCGAAACACCCTGCCACTTTCGGTCTGACGGCCTATGAAGTCACCGATATCTTTGGCGGAAAGGTCGCCCTGTGCCTTCTAGCACGGCGGCAGCGGTTAGGCTCTCACAGCCATTCGGACAGCATGCGTTCGTCGGTCAATATCGCCATAAGTCTACTCACCATTCCAGCTTCCCTTAAAGAATGAGTCTGCAAACCCTCCTCTGTGTCATCAGCGCGGTCTGTCACTGAATTATGGGTTCTAAAGCGCGGAAAATATGACTACATTCTTCTCGCCCGTAAGAAACGTTTTTCTCGCCAGTAGCTGGGAGAACAAAATGGCGCCAACTTTTGCTGTGCGCATGTGCAGAGCGCCGCGGATGTCCCGGATGTACGATGACGACAGGGTGAAGGGGGGGGGGGGGGCTCACCTGGGACAATGAAAGGTGGTCCAGTGGCCACTGACCACTAAAATTTAGGCTGGGACAACTAAAAAGACACTTTGGGACAATAGAAAAATAATTGACACCAGAATGCCAGCCCTTCTTTTGTTTATCAGGCACACGTCCCGGCTTTTATTTGGATCCGTAAAAATCCCCCCGAATTCCCTGTCTACTCTGCAATTGTAGTGCGCCTGGGAGTGAACATAAGCAAAATAAAGTTGACTTCAAGTTGAAGGCATACAATACTTCCCAAAATAACAAGTTAGCACAATTTATCCTCACTTCGGGACAATCAAAATGTATCTTTGGGACAGTGCTGGGACAGGTGAATTAACAGGTGGAACCTGATACCCTCGCGCCGGCCGGTGGGAACATGGCAGACAGGTGTAGGGTGACTGGTGAAGACCGTTAACTTCTTTTCAGCCATCGGCTTGGTAGCCTCTACCAGGCTTCGGGAGGCGGCTGGAAAGAGTAGAAATTGGCCAAATAGAGAGAGATAACATGCCGGGGGAGTTGGTCGGCTAGAGAGTACAGTTCCGCATCGTATTGGTACAAATGGCTATTGGCTTAGTTCTCATTCGTCCTGTAGTTCGTGCGATCATTTTTAGGATCGCAACTTAAATCGGCAGATAGGGAAAACAAATATCAAAGCGACTTGAAAAGGAAGAAGTGATGATGAGGCTTAAGTTACAAAAATCGCCTCGGATCCAAAATTTGCAGTCCAAACCCTCTCCCGTTTTCCGCAAGCCATACTCACTTTACTAACACCATGCCCGTAGCCAGGGGGGGTTCGGGGGGTTCGGAAGAACCCCCCCACAAGGCTCAAAGGTCCACTTTTTGGTCCACTTTTTATGTAAAGGTCCACTTTTTGGTCCACATTTTATGTAAAGGTCCACTTTTTGGTCCACATTTTATGTAAAGGTCCACGTTTTTTCTTGAAAAGATGGACTGGAATCGTAGAAAAACTGCTCTCTTCGTCATTGAATAAAAATTTATCTCTGATTTTCTCTTGGAAATCCTCTCAAAAATGCACGAAATGCCATTTTAGAAGGTTCATTTTTCAAAATTTTCCGGGGGAGCATGCCCCGGACCCCCTAGGAACCTCGCGCCTTCGGCGCTCGCCTCGCGCCTACGGCGCTCGAGGTCCCCTCAAGCAGTGGGACGAACCCCCCCATTCAAAATCCTGGCTACGGGCATGAACACCTTTCTTTTTTCTTGTTAGTGTGTGGTTACGTTTTCTTATGTAGTTAACACTTAACAGTACAAGAAAGAGGGTACGTATCTTTTCGTCTATGGATTTTTTCTTTATTTGATGTTACATGAACATTACTGTATCTCCCAGGCCAATCCAACCCACCCGTTCTTCCGCGTGCATAGTTGCGACGCCTGCCGGTAAACTTGAGTAGTGTGTACCTTATGTCGCTAGCAAGCAAGACGCTGCATGCTAACATTACGTTTGGTACCCGTTACCTTGTGTGTGTACGTGTTGATTGAAGTTAAGTTTTGGTACTGTCAAGAGCCTGTGTGATTTTTTTTTTTTTTTGCATCGTGGTCTGTAATTTGCGACATGATAAATCCACGTGTAGCGGCTGCCGCGAGGTGGTGGGTGAAATGTATCCAAGTTTATCCACGGGTAACGTTGCAACTTTCGCCATGTCATCTGTGTGGACCATTCCTACTTTCCAAACAGAGTAGTTTAGGCTTCGACTTACCTTTCGGCGTGCATTTTTATCGGACTTTCCATCTTTTTTTTCCCTTTCTTTTTTTCGCCTTCCGGTAACGTATTGGATAATGCCCTACCAATCATACTGTTTTGCCAAATTGATCCTGTCTTGCCGCCAACTAAAGATCTGCTTGGGCATGAGACCATTCCTGCAATGATACTAGGATAGCTACACCACTAACTATCCACCATAAGAGTACTAGTCTTTCAACTGGCCCGGTCCGTTCATTTATAACACAGAAAAAAGGTGCGCCGATCTTAGCGCTCGACTGTAACCACAGTATCCATTTACACGTTCATTTGTAGTTTATTTCTTTGAGGACATAGATGAAAAATACTCTTAGAAGACTAAGTTAGATACAATAATAGTTCGAGATCAATACGATATACATTTTATAGTTGACGACCGGCCAAGGGCGTTCTTGTAGTTTAATTCAGATTCTATTCGCACATCATGAACGAGAAACAAGTAGAAAATTTGCTAATATTAATGCTTAAGTACAATTGCACTATACTGCACTATTAACGCTTACTGTGATCATAGCTGCAATGTAAATGTTAACGTCAAGCAGACTAGCTGCTTTTTAAGCTATCAGATGTACGAATTTAACAACAGAATGGGAGTGTATAGATATCTTGAAATGAAAAAAACAAATTCGATGGTTTTCCTACAAGCTACGCCTGTTAAGAACTTTTCTTCAGCCCCGTTACCAAATCTCTTTTCACGCCTGTAGTTGCGCCTCCCGCCCGCTGGGAGGCGCCCTTGTTCGGCGACTTGGGTGTAGACTTGAGGATGGGTACGGACAGACGTCTGCTTGACGCCCGGGAGAGAAGCCGACTGCTGTGGCTGGTCCGCCGGTCCGTCACGACGTCAACCAGGTCGGAAATCCGGCTTCTGCGTCTGTTCAAACGTGCTGAGAAGGACAGAGGGCCATCAAGTTACATTTGCTGAACCATATATATAAGCCCCACCAGGCATCTAACACATGTTTGTAGCTATGGTAATATGTAGTACCAAAGTAAAGTAAGTAAGCTATCGTACCAATGTAAATTGCAAGAGGTTAAACGCAAAAACTGTAAATTAGTACTATGCGTATCTGCATCAGGGATCTGCTGAAAGGCAAACATCTGCTAATGCTGTAAAAAAAATCGTGACTCCGTAAGTTATCTTACGAATAACTTGAGATAATTTTGTATCAGTTCTTTTTGCCTAATTCTAAATAAATACATATGAATGAATAAATGAATGATTTTGCAGAAATCTTAGATATTTTTCGACATAGACGAGATATTTTTCCGCTCATGACCCACCGTGAAAGCTCTTGCTCAGACCTGTTCCCTTGAACAGTGGCAGGTACCGAACGTCCTCCTCGCCCCCTTCACACTCTTCTGTGGAAATACAAGGGGGAAAGGAACATGTAGCATGAACGTATCGTGTCAGATCACCCTAACCACTCGACCATTCCACGCCACATTATATACGATATAATGCTAACGTCATATTTCCAAACCGGGCCCCGGCCAGCTTTCGGGAGCGAAAAGTACTACATGTATATAAAATACACCAGAAAAAGATACTAATCATGAGTACTATTTGTGTATATCCCTGATAACAATTGTTGATTTCGCGTTAATTGTCATTGAATAAAAAGTTATGTCTGATTTTTCCTTTGAAATCATCTAATGAAATGCCATTTCAGAGGGTTCAATTTTCACAATTTCCCGGCCCCGGACCCCCTAGGAACCTCGCGCCTACGGCGCTCGTTGGTCCCTCTGACTGTGGGAAGAATGGCCCCATTCAAAATCCTGGCTACGGGCATGACCACCACACAGAGATGACAGACAGACGTTACGTACTTTCTACTTTGATGAGGATGAAGGTGGCGCGCGCGTGCAGGTAGTTGGAGGCGTAGTCCCCGGGGTGAGTGGACAGCTCCATCACTTCTCCCGTCTCGTCAGCGAGGTCGATCGTGTCTGTGGGAGGGAAACGGAAGAAGGGAACAGAAGTGGGGTAGAAAAACAAAAGGAAATAATGGACATAAGAAACGGAAGATAAGAAAGATAGGAATGGAGGAAAAGCATGAAAGAACGAGGAGACGCGAGTATGTAATAATGCTACTAGTAATTGTAAGGCTAGGACAATTTTTGTGTGGGACAGCGATTTAATTGGAAAGCAAAAACTACGAAAAACTGCCACTTGTTGCTTCAAAGTGTAACCAAAAATTGCTAATGTTCAATAATAATTTATAATACAAGTTGAAAAACCTGGATACAAAGATTACCAGACACAACGAGAGTAAATAGTGAACTAACACACATTGAAACGATTAAGAGCAAGGTATTCCCCTTTATGAATTGCGTATGAACAATAAAATTTGTTTGTTTTGATGAAACATACAAGTAACATTCATTCATTCATTCATTCATTCATTCATTCATTCATTCATTCATTCATTCATTCATTCATTCATTCATTCATTCATTCATTCATTCATTCATTCATTCATTCATTCATTCATTCATTCATTCATTCATTCATTCATTCATTCATTCAGTAACTCACCTCCATGTTCACAGCCACATTTGTCCCTGATCGCCTTCAGCAGGAGCAAGACTCGGCATTTGGGGTTGAATATCTCCGACTTGTTTTCTACAAAACAGGAGAAAGACTGCCTGTTAAAGTCGTAAAGCCTTCAAGTCGTTCATTTTCGCGTTATTTACTGTACACTTCACCGTCACCAGAGTGGCGCCTGCCCCTGCACGTTACGATGTTTGCACGGAAATGTAACACCCTGCCGTAACCACGTTCTCAAAAGTTTAGCGCCGCCTCACAGATACACTTGTGACGTTGCCTGGCACGCAGTGAATTCCGTTAGACTGATCTGTGTGTGCTGTTTTAAGTGCCAGCAGTTATTCCCCAGTAGTTATTGCCTGCCTTTAAGTCAAGTTTAAGTCCTTCCCGCAGAGGGTGCATAGGGCAGCGCCTATGTCCGTTTTAATAGCCCCTGGGCCACACAACTTTGTACAATCAATACAGCAGGGGGCTAGTCCACCAGCTGGTAGTGGTGTGTTCAACTCTCATACTTTCACCCAATGCTGAGTGCTAAGCAGAGAAAGCAGTATACGTATATACCATTTTTTAAGTCTCTGGTTTTGACCTGACCGGGGATCGAACTCACGGCCTACCGAATGCAAGGCGAACACTCTACTCATTTGGCAATTGTACCTATATTGCCAGCCTTGAAATAGGAAAACAACTGCATTCCACGAACTTGCCTGCTTACCTCCGTACCTTACTGTTATGAACATAATTTCCGGTGACCAGGGGCTGCCAGGTACATATAAGGTGCACACAGGTCCCTCGACTCCCTGGCTACACAGGTGGGGTTCAAACGTCCGGGTTTCACAGTCACCGACACCGCCTCACTATAACGACAAGAACATGAGAGGAAATGGACTTCGTACATTAAGTGTCCATTTGCGAACCCACACTTTAAACTGTACATAGCAAATACAATATGCATATATAATGAACCCAGAGGAGACCTCCGGACTTACCACACACCTCACTTGTTGTTCCCCTACTGCGGGAGACTGCTGCAGATTTATAATCTTGCAAATAAATACCGTGGAGTGTTCTTAATGTCAACTGAAGGTGGCGAAAGGTCAAGAAGACGTGGTTGGGTCAGAAGCACGACCTTTTCATAGATGAGAGGCGAAGTAAGATTAAGACATGATTTTGATGGCGATCCTGGAAATGGATCGATGGCCTTCCTCGGTCGACATGATATAGCCTAAACTCTACTCGTAGTCAACTCGATGCTTTGGTGGGAAAATGCTTACCGAACTGTGCCAAAAATTGCAAAATCATTTGTAAAAAAGACGTATTCTTGTCGCGGAAGCCTATACTCAGGCTTAGCGGTGAATTCTATATGCATGTTGTGCGTAGACTAACAATCTTCTGTCAGAATTCGTACTTTCAGGCCTGCGAAACAGTATTAAACTGTCAAGCTGAGTTGAAGAACAACGATATAGTGAAACTGGTTTCCCCACTCGATCGGTTCCAATCTTTATCCCACTCCTAACTCTAAGCCAAGACTCAATCCTATGTAAAACGGAAGATAAAGGAAGGCGGTAACCCCGCTATGTACAGGAGCGGTCACCCCAAGTTATATATAGATAGGCCACCGTGTGTAGAATTATAAATGATCATGGACAAGGTTCTGGTAAGGAATACCTATAGACCTGAGAAATAAGACAGAACGTGGTCGCGCATAAAGCAAGAAAAACTGTCGTGACATTTCAGCTGGCCTGGCTGAATAAAAGTTCTAAACGGGAACTATGCGACTCCAGGTGTCTTACTGAGGGACGACTGCGTGTGCAAGATATCGGTTAGCTGAGGAATGAATCCCCTCTACTATAAGCTGGCCTGTTTTAGCACTGGAAAACAACTGAAAGACAAGATTAGGTTTTCGCTATAGTATTGAAATGACCCGTTTTGTCAGAGTGATACCAGGCATAGGTTTCAGTCACTTGAAAAATGATCTCCGAGTGAGACACGTGCGATCACAGTACCAAGGTGTTTGTCTTGGTGACGTCAACTTGTCTGACAACAACAACAAAACAAGAAAATTTCTGATACAGGAAATTTGGAATCATACTACAGTAGTAATAAAACTGCCCCGGTGACAGGTCCCGCATTGTCAGAGGACAGAAAATGGTCTTGACAAGAAACGAAGAATTAATGTTGGGAACAAACGTTTGAAATGACGTCGCTATAGCTAAATATTATCTTCGCGACTGCTTGTAATATCTTCACATGATACACATTCAAAATAGGTGTTAGCCATCTCATTTCTGTATTTACCCTTGTGAATTAAGAAGGAAAGTCTGTGTAGGAACTTGTCAAAATAGCTAATCCAGACTTCAGCTTACATTTCGTAGTGTGTGTGTGTCGGTCGGATATGTAGAACACGCGAGCCTGTCGCCTGGGTAACACCGCCGTTCTGTACCCGGCCTGGCGGCATGTGCGGCACAACGGGACGGGTTCACGTCAGGTCAAGACGCTTTCACTTCGTCCTTCCTTAGGACAGACGACAGGAAAGTCAAGGCCATGTTCTTACCGTTCACGATGACTCTCCGGCGCACTGTTTGGCGCTGTGATTTCCTAGACGAACTTCGACGCAAGCACCGAAGCCCATGCAGTCACCGTTTGGCTTATACATAACGTTATCTAAACGTTGTGTTATTTACACAGATGACTGAGAACAATGTACGTTTGACCGTATTGTGAGACATAAAAGAAACGCTGGGACCTACCCTGGCCCTGCCGCCACAGTCGGACGTGTGCCGTCTTCACTCCTACCCGCACAGTCCGGTCCTCTCTCCTCCCGAGATGACATGGAGAAGCCCTGACAGGGTTCACTCGACCCCAAAAGAGCGTTTCCAACGTCGGACGGACATCTGATCTGGAATGTTCCCCCTTGGTTGCATCTGAATCCTCCATTTTTTGCCGGGGTGTTACTAAACCCCGTCGCGCATTGTCGTGTGGAAAAGGCGGCGGCTACTGTTTCAGTTCGACATGCGAGAGTCGCGTTACGCTGACGTTACCGCGTGGTGCATTCTGGGATATGTATCTAGAGTAAAGTTGCAGATAGTTTTCTAGATAAGAGGCGATAAAACGACACAACGGGCCTCGCAGCAAAATAAGGCTGGTAATCGGGAATAATTTGTGACAAAAAAAAGTAATAAGTAGTCACTGGCCTGTGTTTTAGGTCATGATAAGTGATTTATTTCTTAGCCATTCGTTGATGGCTACACCCAATAAAGATTAAGCTGAACAGAAGGCGAGTTGTGTAGTTGATGATGTGTAGTCCATTAGTGTAAAATGACTTCAGTGTTCTAAAGAGTATTCTTAAGGTAACGTGTGCACCTGGTTATAGGCACTGCATGAAAAGAGGGATTTACCAATGCTGGTAAATACCAGGTAAGTCTGGTAATGGTTGCTTTAAGCAACCAT